CAGCAGGGAGCCATTGACCTGAGGCAGGCAGCGGACTCCAGAGAAACTGAAGTGCAGCCCGGGCCGGGGTCAGGTGCGATGGCTTGCCTGGGGGTCAGGTCGCACACTGAACACCCCTCCTCGCAAGTCACCCAGGCACCGTGTCAGTGAGGGCACTGCACCTGGAGGGTGGGTGCTGACTGTGGGAGGAGGCCTCCTTCCAGCCCACCCACAGGTGCATAGCAGGCTCCCAGGGTGGAGCTTGAGGGAGCACAGCATCAAATTCTGTATATAAGAAGATACGTCCTAGAGTGGACTCAGCCAGGAAGCACGTGAGGGAGCGAGTCAGGAAGAGGACTCCGGCAGGAGCCGAGGCGGTAAAAGACGGCCTCTGCACTGAAGCCGCAGCTCCTTAGAGGCGCTCGGAAGAGTAAGGGACCCTTTCCAGGACTGTTCAGTCTGAGGCACTTTTCTATTTCTGTTAAGCAAGTGTGACGGGAGTCTGAGCAGGGTGTTGCCTGGAGGCCCATTAGTGCCGCAGCCGATTCATGTCCCAGTCGCCATCGCCAGCACCTCCTGGTTGAGCTGCTCAGTGGGACGGTGGCAAAAGGAGCTGGCCTCAGGCTCACAGCGACAGCCTGGGAGGGCATCGAGAGCAGGGGTGAGGAGGAGGGTGAGAAGGAGGGTGAGGAGGAGGGTGAGGAGGAGGGTGAGGGTAGGGTGAGGAGGAGGGTGAGGAGGAGGGTGAGGAGGAGGGTGAGGAGGAGGGTGAGGGCAGGGTGAGGAGGAGGGTGAGGGCAGGGTGAGGAGGAGGGGTGAGGAGGAGGGTGAGGGCAGGGTGAGGAGGAGGGTGAGGAGGAGGGTGAGGAGGAGGGTGAGGAGGAAGGTGAGGGCAGGGTGAGGAGGAGGGTGAGGAGGAGGGTGAGGAGCAGGGTGAGGAGGAGGGTGAGGAGGAGGGTGAGGGCAGGGTGAGGAGGAGGGTGAGGAGGAGGGTGAGGGCAGGGTGAGGAGGAGGGTGAGGAGGAGGGGTGAGGAGGAGGGTGAGGAGGAGGGTGAGGAGGAGGGTGAGGAGCAGGGGTGAGGAGGAGGGTGAGGAGGAGGGTGAGGAGGAGGGTGAGGGCAGGGTGAGGAGGAGGGTGAGGAGGAGGGTGAGGAGGAGGGTGAGGAGGAGGGTGAGTAGGAGGGTGAGGAGGAGGGTGAGTAGGAGGGTGAGGAGGAGGGGTGAGGAGGAGGGTGAGGAGGAGGGTGAGGAGGAGGGTGAGGGCAGGGTGAGGAGGAGGGTGAGGAGGAGGGTGAGGAGGAGGGTGAGGGCAGGGTGAGGAGGAGGGGTGAGGAGGAGGGTGAGGGCAGGGTGAGGAGGAGGGTGAGGAGGAGGGTGAGGAGGAGGGTGAGGAGGAGGGTGAGGGCAGGGTGAGGAGGAGGGTGAGGGCAGGGTGAGGAGGAGGGGTGAGGAGGAGGGTGAGGGCAGGGTGAGGAGGAGGGTGAGGAGGAGGGTGAGGAGGAGGGTGAGGAGGAAGGTGAGGGCAGGGTGAGGAGGAGGGTGAGGAGGAGGGTGAGGAGGAGGGTGAGGAGCAGGGTGAGGAGGAGGGGGAGGAGGAGGGTGAGGGCAGGGTGAGGAGGAGGGTGAGGAGGAGGGTGAGGGCAGGGTGAGGAGGAGGGTGAGGAGGAGGGTGAGGAGGAGGGGTGAGGAGGAGGGTGAGGAGGAGGGTAAGGAGGAGGGTGAGGAGGAGGGTGAGGAGCAGGGGTGAGGAGGAGGGTGAGGAGGAGGGTGAGGAGGAGGGTGAGGAGGAGGGTGAGGAGCAGGGGTGAGGAGGAGGGTGAGGAGGAGGGTGAGGAGGAGGGTGAGGGCAGGGTGAGGAGGAGGGTGAGGAGGAGGGTGAGGAGCAGGGGTGAGGAGGAGGGTGAGGGCAGGGTGAGGAGGAGGATGAGGAGGAGGGTGAGGAGGAGGGTGAGGGCAGGGTGAGGAGGAGGGTGAGGGCAGGGTGAGGAGGAGTGTGAGGAGGAGGGTGAGGAGGAGGGTGAGGAGGAGGATGAGGAGGAGGGGTGAGGAGGAGGGTGAGGAGGAGGATGAGGAGGAGGGTGAGGAGGAGGGTGAGGAGGAGGGTGAGTAGGAGGGTGAGGAGGAGGATGAGGAGGAGGGTGAGGAGAAGGGGTGAGGAGGAGGGTGAGGGCAGGGGGAGGAGGAGGGTGAGGAGGAGGGTGAGGAGGAGGATGAGGAGGAGGGGTGAGGAGGAGGGTGAGGAGGAGGGTGAGGGCAGGGTGAGGAGGAGGGTGAGGAGGAGGGTGAGTAGGAGGGTGAGGAGGAGGATGAGGAGGAGGGTGAGGAGAAGGGGTGAGGAGGAGGGTGAGGGCAGGGTGAGGAGGAGGGTGAGGAGGAGGGTGAGGAGGAGGGTGAGGAGGAGGGTGAGGGCAGGGTGAGGAGGAGGGTGAGGAGGAGGGTGAGGAGGAGGGTGAGGGCAGGGTGAGGAGGAGGGTGAGGAGGAGGGTGAGGGCAGGGTGAGGAGGAGGGTGAGGAGCAGGGTGAGGAGGAGGGTGAGGAGGAGGGTGAGGGCAGGGTGAGGAGGAGGGTGAGGAGGAGGGTGAGGGCAGGGTGAGGAGGAGGGTGAGGAGGAGGGTGAGGAGCAGGGGTGAGGAGGAGGGTGAGGAGCACAGCCCAGGGAGCTGTCGTCCCTGTACACAGCAGTCTCATGTAGATGGCACTTGTCTTTTGTGACATGATCAGCCAGTGGTTCCCGGGATAGCAGGCAGCAGAAGAGAGATGCGCCCTATGAGCGAGTGCCCTGGTGTCTTCTGACCTGAGGGGGCCGACTGGGGCCCCCGGCGTCAGCAGAGAGGACGTGGAATCTGAGAGCCTCACGTGTCCTTTGGTGTGGCCTGCTCAGCGCATTCCTCAGGCGCATGGCGAATCCCCAGCAGTGGAAGCCGAGGTGCGAGGAGCACCAGGACTCCTGGATAGCGGGGGCCCGCTGAGCAGGGGCCTGCCTGGCACGATTCTGGGCAGGGGTGGGTGGGTGGTGCACATACAGAATCAGGCTGGAGTACAGGCCTTGTTGGACAGGAAGGTACCAACTCGCACCCTGAGCAGCACCAAAGGCCGGCGCCATCGATGCCCAGACCTGAGCCTGGTACAGCTCCACAGTTGGAAGGTCCTGCGTGAGTGAGGCTGCGCCTCGCCTTGTGTTCCCGATCTGACGAGCAGCAAGGTGAACCGTGCAGCCAGCTTTCTTCCAGAAAGATTTAGGGGTGACTTCCATACCCTCCCACCGTCAGCCCTGGGTGCTGTTCCCGGATGTTGGTGTGCTCCTCCTGTACACCGAGCTCTGTGGGCCTGTGGCCCCATGTCTTGGCTGTGCCCACCGTCCGCCCAGCTTCTGCATGTCGAGTGCACTCATGATTGAACAATGGGTCGTGTTCTCATGGTTCAAACCCTGTGAGTCCAAGCCCACACTTGTTTGTCTAAGTGTGTTCCAGGGAGTGAGAGAGACTGAGGCTGGGGACTTGTTTCTTGGGTCACCCCTGAATCCTATCCTAACCCGTCAGCCTGCACCTGTTTCTAAGGTGACACAGTGACTATGTTCCATGAACTACTGAAGTCCACAGGCCTGTTGCGTTTTGAAACAAATGAAGACAGGCCACTCCTGGGTTAATATGCTTGGTGTGGTCACTGGGATGACAGCTTTGCAGCGGCCAGCTCATCAGCAGGAAACGCAGACCGAGCAAGTGCTGTGACCCTGCTGGAGTGGGCCAGCCGTGGGCTAGACCACCAGAACAGGGTGTCCTAAGATCCGTGACCAACTCAGACCTGAGCTCTTTAAGTCAGTGCCTGGGAGGTCAGGAGCCCACCATGTCCCCGGGAGCCCGGGGAACCTTCCTCAGTGCCTCTGCAGCCAGTCCGCCACGTACCCTCCTCCTGACAGCAAATTCTGACAGGCTGGTTCAGAGGGTGACAGCAGACTGACCAGGCTTTGCCACCGTGTACTGCCACGGTCCTGCACAGACCTGTGTGTGGCCAACACTCTGACCCTGAGGCCCACAGGTGTGGGGCACCTCAGAGCCACCAGTGAGAGCTGGAGGCCCACAGGATGGCCACACCTGGGCGCACGTGTGTGTGCACAGGTACTTGTGTGTGTGCAGAGGCTTTCATCTTGACACATCCCATGTGCATTTATACAAGTGTCACGTGTGTGATGTTGCTGGAAGGCACCCTTCCTAGAACCCTGCTCCCGAAGAGCACTGTGTGCCTGACTGTTGCCATGGCAGGAAGCCCCGGTGTCACCCCGCCCAGATGGCCCATGGCCCTGGGAGGACAGTGCCTGGTTATCCAGGCAGAGCCCAGGGCAAGGCCACAGCTGACCCTGAGCCCGGCTTCCCAGGGGCTAGCAGGATAAAGCGCCACTCGGCTCCCTGCATCTCTGCAGCCCCAGCTGTGCGGGGGACAGTGCCATGTGGCCCAGGCTGTCCCAGGCACAGGACGGCAAAACTGTGAACAATGAAAGCCCACGACCCGAGGGGCTCCCAGTGGGAAGTGAAGGTGCTGCTTTGGGCAAATTGACCAGGGTGGCCCAGTGTGAGGCCGCGCAGCAGTGACTTCGGCTCTGCCCATGGAGGACCAGGAGGCACACAGAGCTTTGTGGACGGTGGGGGTATTTCCCACCAGACCCACCTGGCTGGAAGGAGCCAGGAGGGTGGGAGAGGGCCAAGTCCCTGCAGCCGTCCCGATGCTGATGAGGCCCTGGAGCCCAGAGCTCAGCCACAGGGAAGCCGAGGGCCATTTCACCAGCGGCCTGAGATCCTGCCTTTGGGGGAGGGCCATGTCCTTTATCACCAGGTTTTTACAAAAAGTGGTGGTGGGTCCCAAGGTTATTGGCACAAGATGCTGGGCTCTGAACAGTGGCCCTGGAGGAAAACAAGTGTCTCATTTGGATGAGCCACGTGGGTGGTAAAGACCTTTGCAGCTGCGCGTGCACAATGAAGCCACATCAGAGCCATAGTAAAGTGTGACTTTGTTTCTCTCTTTGCAGAGGAAGAAGGAGGAGACCTGGTCCAGCCGGGCCTCAGCTTCCCGGGGCCAGCGGAGGAAGACCTAGGTAGAGTACAGACGCCGGCGCTGTTCACACTGGGACCACACAGCGCCTGCACGCTGCAGCACACCCGTCAGTGGGACCTTCCCCCCGAAAGTGTTATGCAAGTTTGCCTTAGAGATGGTCCTAGTAGGAGCTAAATTAATGGTGCCAAGTTTTTTTTATTTCAAAAATAGTTGTTCGAACACCTTGCAGGAGTTCTTGGAGAGAGAAGGTCATCCCAGGCCCTGGAGGCAGAGGGAGCTGTCGTGGGAGGAGAAGTGTGGCCCTCCACGCAGGAGCAGCTCTCCTCCCCTCCTGTGATGGGCACCTTCTGTCAGAGGGCCCTAGCACTGCACTGTTCCGCCCAGCTCTGTTATTGTGGGGCAGCAGTCCTCTCCTCGCCTCCACCCACACACTGGTCTGCAGGCTGCCTCCAGAGGAGGCTAGGAAGGCTTCACCAGGGCTGGTCATGCAATTCCCTTCTGGGGCCCCAGACACAGGGGCTGGTGCCGGGTGACCATCAGTCTCCTGACTTGGAGTTGTGCACAGGTGAAAAGGGGCAAAGGCTTATGCTAGAGGCGTGGAATGTGGATCAACCCAGAAAGGAAACCCTATGGTGGCTCTGGGTTCTTGACCTCCATAGTGCAGCTGCTCAGAAGCCTGCAGGTCCGCTGTGTCCTTTCCTGGCCCCTGATAGCCAAGGCTGTTGCTGCCCAAGGGCCAGGTCAGGGGTGCTCAGTTCAACTTTGAATCTGAGCTCTTCCTGGTTTATTTCAGACCTTCAGTCACTGGATCTGCTGCTGGGTTGAGTGGTGCCGAGTTGTAGTGAGAACCGAAGGCTCTCTTTCTGTAAAGCCAGGGTGCTTTGTAAAGAAAACCACAGCCCCAAAACGTTTTCTTCTCAATTTAAAGTATGAGGACAGGTGGTGTTGGAAAACACAGCAGCACCTTCCCACGGAGAACCAGTATGAAATATCTGGCCTGACACCCCAAGCAGGCCTCTCTCCCTGGAAATATGAATGTGTCAGAGTCTCCCTTCCTTCTGAGCTGAGTTACATCCATTGAGCTGAAGGACCATGCTATCCACCTCTCACCCCTGCAGGACACTTGGGCTGCACCACTTACCAGCTGCAATGGAGGGAGCTACAGTAGACATGCGCTTTCTTCTCTTGGGAAAACTAGAAGTACTTTGGCCTCCTGTTAGAGAGAGTGACAGCCATTTTATTTGAGTGGTCATGTACCTCTTTATGTCCCTCAGCATAACTCTCCACAGTGACTGTGGCTCCAGGCAGGCCTCAGGCTCCCAAGAGAGCATGGAAACACTTTGACTTTTGTTAACTGAGGTGTGGGTACACTTATGTCATTGTGTTTGGTGATGGAAAGAGTTATGTGCAGGAGTGGCGGTGATGCTGCTCATCTCTGCGTCAGTTTAGATGAGGGAGCTGCAGAGGAGGAGGGGACATGCAGAGGAGGAGGGGACATGCAGGGTAGGAGGGGACATGCAGGGTAGGAGGGGACATGGAGAGCAGGAGGGGACATACAGGGTAGGAGGGGACATACAGGGTAGGAGGGGACATGCAGAGCAGGAGGGGACATGGAGAGCAGGAGGGGACATGCAGGGTAGGAGGGAACATGGAGAGCAGGAGGGCACATGGAGTGCAGGAGGGGACATGCAGAGGAGGAGGGGACATGGAGTGCAGGAGGGGACATGCAGAAGAGGAGGGGACATGCAGGGTAGGAGGGGACATACAGGGTAGGAGGGGACATTCAGGGTAGGAGGGGACATTCAGGGTAGGAGGGGACATGCAGGGTAGGAGGGAACATGGAGAGCAGGAGGGCACATGGAGTGCAGGAGGGGACATGCAGAGGAGGAGGGGACATGCAGGGTAGGAGGGGTATGGAGAGCAGGAGGAGACATACAGGGTAGGAGGGGACATACAGGGTAGGAGGGGACATGCAGAGGAGGAGGGGACATGCAGGGTAGGAGGGGACATGGAGTGCAGGAGGGGACATGCAGAGGAGGAGGGGACATGCAGGGTAGGAGGGGACATGGAGAGCAGGAGGGGACATGGAGAGCAGGAGGGGACATACAGGGTAGGAGGGGACATGCAGGGTAGGAGGGGACATGGAGTGCAGGAGGGGACATGCAGAGGAGGAGGGGACATGCAGGGTAGGAGGGGACATACAGGGTAGGAGGGGACATTCAGGGTAGGAGGGGACATGGAGAGCAGGAGGGGACATGCAGGGTAGGAGGGGACATTCAGGGTAGGAGGGGACATGGAGAGCAGGAGGGGACATGCAGAGGAGGAGGGGACATGCAGGGTAGGAGGGGTATGGAGAGCAGGAGGGGACATGCAGAGGAGGAGGGGACATACAGGGTAGGAGGGGACATGGAGAGGAGGAGGGGACATGCAGAGGAGGAGGGGACATGCAGGGCAGGAGGGGACATTCAGGGTAGGAGGGGACATGGAGAGCAGGAGGGGACATAGAGGGTAGGAGGGGACATACAGGGTAGGAGGGGACATGCAGGGTAGGAGGGGACATGCAGAGGAGGAGGGGACATGCAGAGCAGGAGGGGACATGGAGAGCAGGAGGGGACATGGAGAGGAGGAGGGAACATGGAGAGCAGGAGGGCACATGGAGTGCAGGAGGGGACATGCAGAGGAGGAGGGGACATGCAGGGTAGGAGGGGACATGCAGAGGAGGAGGGGACATGCAGGGTAGGAGGGGACATGCAGGGCAGGAGGGGACATTCAGGGTAGGAGGGGACATGGAGAGCAGGAGGGGACATGCAGGGTAGGAGGGGACATGCAGGGTAGGAGGGGACATGCAGGGTAGGAGGGGACATGGAGAGCAGGAGGGCACATGGAGTGCAGGAGGGGACATTCAGGGTAGGAGGGGACATGGAGAGCAGGAGGGGACATACATGGTAGGAGGGGTATGGAGAGCAGAGGGCATGGAGAGTGGTGGGCAGGGTGCACCTAGATTCTAATTCTCCAGTCCACATAACTTGGAGGCTTGGTGATCACGTCCTGGGGAAGAGGGTGGTCTGCAGGTTTGTTTTTGGTGCAATGGCCTCTCAGGCCGCGTGCTGTGCTCTGGCGGAAGGGCAGTGGGAGGGTGTGGAGGACCAAGTCTTGAATACAAGGTGCATATGAGTTGGTAGATCTCCCAGGAGAGGGGGTTTGCTGAGCTCGTACCTGGGGCCTGGATGAATCCTTCAGTGTGTCTGTGGTCACATGAAGTGACAGTGAGGGATGAGGCCAGGCTGAAGGAGTCAGAATGTCACACTGCTTGTTGTGCAGGCCAGAGGTAAGGAATAAAGCTGCTTGTTACAGTGGCCAGGTATGAAACATGAAATTTACTTTTCTACCTGTTTATGCATGCTGTTCAGTGGCATTGAGGACACTCACACGGTGTGCGGTGGTCATTCCCATCAACCCCCAGAACTCCTTTATGAACTGAGATGTCCCCCTGAACACCACTTCATCCCCGGCCCCTAGCACCCCATCCCACCTTCTGTGCTTTGCATTTGAGGACTCCAGGAACCTCATATGAGTGGAGTCACAGCTCGTCTTTGGTGACGGGCTTGTATCACTCAGCACAATACCCCAAGTTTACCTCAGGTGGTAGCGTGTGTTGGACCCCCTTCCTTTCAGGCTGTAGTACACTCTGGTGTGTGGATGGGCCACACTCCGCTCGTCCCCAGGTCCATCATGGTGCTCAGATTGCTCCCACAAATTAGCTCCTCTTGGAGAGTTGCCGTGCGCCTGGCCCGCCCTCTCCGCTGTCTGCGTGCTGTCTGTGGGTGTGTATTCAGAGTGGAATTCTGCACTGATGGCACACCTGTGCTCACTTGTTGGAGGACATCCACACTGTTGAGCAACAAAGGTGTTTGAGTCAGCTTTTTCGCTGCTATGACTAAAAGATCTGAACAATGTTAGGGGAAAGGTTCATTTAGAGGCTCACAATGTCAGAGGTCTCGGTCCGTAGACAGCCAGGTCCTTCCTCGGGGCTCTGGGCGAGGCAGGACATCATGGTGGAAGAGTGTGGCAGAGGGAGGCAGCTCACATGAGGATCAGGAAGCAGAGAGAGGCTCCACTTCCCGATGCAAATATATGTCCCATAGCCTCACCCCCAATGAGCCCCCTCCTCCAGCCACACCCTCCTGCCTCCAGTTACCACCCAGTTAATCCCCATGAAGGATTGATTCATGACTATGTTAAGGCTGTAACCCAATCGTTTCTCCTCCAAACATTCTTCATTGTCTCACATGTGAGCTTCTGGGGGACACCTCACATCCAAACCATAACAGAAGGTATTCAGCCATCTGTGCCCAGAGTCTGGCTGTGGCAGAAGGAGCAGCCAGATTCCAGAAGCTCTGGAAGAGAACTGAGGGTTTGGTGACCACTGGCCTCAGGGGCTTCCAGCCTCCCTGGTTTTCCTGTGTGAAGCAGGAATGAAGGCAGGGATCCTGGCTGGCCAGGGAGAAGGCCAGGGGTCCGCTCTGGGGACAGGAGGGGGTGCGAGCCCGGCACGGACAGGAGCTGCCTTTGAGCCGGCTCACTAAGTGTCAGACCCAGCCTGTCCTGCTTCAGCGGGTCTCACGTGGGAGCGCCAGCAGTCCCAAGACCCACACCCCCGCTGTGCACCTGTGGGTGGCACTGGGGCCTTGCCACCTCTATACCTTGCCTACCTGACTCTTCTCCCCTGTTTTAGTGGGGAAATGCTTTTCATTCGCTCGTGGTTTTTCTGGCTTTACTAAGTCACAGCTGATAAGTAAAAGTCGTGCACACTTGCAGCGCACAAGGAGAAGCTTTTATATCTGTCCACGTGGCAGGGTGGTCCAGGCAAGCCAGTGAACCCCTCGGCTCACGAGCTTGTTTTCCTTTCTGTGGTGAGAGTTGAAGATCAGCTCCCAGCAGCTTTCCAGTGTACAGTGCATTGTTATTAGCTGCAATCACCAATTGCACAGGAGGTGGCTTCAACTTTCCCCTTCCAACAGAGGTTGTGACCCACACTTT